ACATCTGGCTAATTTCTAAACTTTAAGAGACAGGATCTTGCTATGTTGTCCAGGCTGGTCTCAAACTCTTGGCCTCGAACAATCCTTCTGCCTTGGCCTCTGTAAGTGCTAGGATTACAGGCACAAGCCACTGTGCCCAGCCACATCAATTAAAAAAAATATTTTTGTGGTTCAAAATATGGTCTTATTTTGGTGAATATTCTATGTGCACTTGAAAAGAATGTTTTACTTGTTTGGTGAAATGTTCTATAAATGTCATTGTGTTCTGTTGGCTTTATAGCATTGTTCTTATTTTCTGTATTCTCACTAATATTTGTTGGTAGTTCCACAACTTACTAAGAAAAGAGTGTAGAAATCTCCCAAGTATAATTGTGAACCTAATTTTCCTTATATTTTGATCAGTTTTTGCTTCATGTACTTGGAAACTCTATTAATAGATGCATATTTATTTGTTATACTTTTTTATTTTTTGAGACAGGATCTCCCTCTGTTGCCTTGGCTAGAGTATAGTAGCATCATCATAGCTCACTGTAGCCTCCCAGCTTCTGGGCTCAAGAGATCCCCCTGCCTCAGCCTCCCAACAGCTATAGGGACTATAGGTGCATACATACCAACACGCTAGCTAATTTTTTAATGAGACCACTCTCATTATTGTCCAGGCAGGCCTCAAATTCCTGGCCTCAAGCAATCCTCCTGCTCTGGCCTCCCAAAATTGTAAAATTACAACTCTGAGCCACTACACCTGCTCATTATACCTTTTTGATGGAAAAATATTTTTATTATTATGAAACATCTCTCTTTAAGCTTGCTATCTCTTGATCTGACAACACAAAGTTCACTTTGTCTGATCCTAATATCTACTTCACCTTTTTTTTTTTTTTGATTAGCGATTAGGTTTTTCTTTTCCTATCCTTTTCCCTTAAACCCATCTATGTCTTTATCTCTAAAGTGGGCTTCTTGTAGATAGCCTACGGCCAAGTCTTGCCTTCTAAAAAACAACTAATAAGGTAATTTTTGCTTTTCATCTCGGGGTTCAGACCATTTACATTTAATATAATTATCACTGTAGTTGAGTTTAAATCTGTCGTATTGGTTATTTGCTTTTTTATTTGCCTGATTTGTTTTTTGTTCCATTTTCCCTTTTTTCTTGCCTCCTTTGGATTATTTTATAGCTAATCTCTCTATTAGCTTATAGGCACCTTTTTTCCTTTTAGTCATTCCTCCTCTAATATATATCTTTGACTTAACCACATTCTACCTTCAAATGCAATTATACTATTTCATGTGTGGTGGAATAAGCATGCAACAGTATATAGCTATTCCCCCTTCCTTTATGGCATTATTAACATATGTTTTACTTTATTTCTTATAAGCTTCATTTGTTAATATTTTTGCTTTAATTAATTATACTAGAGAAATTTTAAAAAGTAGAAAAAAATTATAGTAATTTATATCCTCACTTTTTCCCCCTTTTGTGTGAATTTGAATATCTATCTGGAATCATTTTCATTTAATATGAAGAACTTTCTTTAACATTTATTATAAATCAGGTATGCTAAAAACAAATTCTCTCATCTTTTGTTTACCTGAAAATGCCATCATTTTAATTTTTTTTGAGACAGAGCCTCAAGCTATCCCCCTGGGTAGAGTGCTGTAGCATCACAGCTCACAGAGACCTCCAACTCCTGGGCTCAAGCGAGTCTCCTGCCTCAGCCTCCCAAGTAGCTGGGACCACAGGCGCCCGCCACAACTGGCTATTTTTTGGTTGCAGCCGTCATTGTTGTTTTTGGCAGCCTGGGCTGGATTCAAACCGGCCACCTTAGGTGTATGTGGCTGGCTCCTTAGCCACTTGAGCCATAGGCGCTGAGCCTCTTTTTATTTTTCTTTAGAGACAGAGTTTTACTTTGTTGCCCTTAGTAGAGTGCTGTGCCTTCACAGCTTACAGCTTACAGCAACCTCCAGCTCTTGGGCTTAGGTGATTCTCTTACCTCAGCCTCCTGAGTAGCTGGGACCACAGGCACCCACTACAATGCCCAGCTATTTTTTGTTGCAGTTTGGCCAGGGCCGGGTTTGAACCTGCCAGCCTCGGTATATGGGGCTGGCACCCTATTCACTGAGCCACAGGTGCCGTCCATTCTCTGGTTATTTCTAATATTGTCTTTTAATTATTGGTTTTCAGCAGTTTGAGTGTAATGTGCCTTGGTGTGTCTTTCCTTGTGTTTGTCTGTTTGAGGTCAGTTTAATTTCTTGAATCTGTGTGTTCATATTTTTCATCAAATTTTGAAAAACTTTAGTCATTATTGCTCCAAATAGTTTTTTCCTCTCTTCTCTTTCTGGGACTCCAATTACACAAGTGTTAAGCCCTGCTTATTTTCAGCTTTTTTCCTCTGTCCTTTGATATTTTTGTATTGTTTCTTTCCTGATCTTTTCTTCAGCAATGTCTAATCTACTGTTAAGCTTATACAGCAAAATGTCCGTTTCAGATATTGTATTTTCTGCTCTACAAGTTTGATTTGGTTCTTTCCATGGTTTCCGTGTCTCACATTGCATTTATGTTCCTTTAAGTTCTTGGGTTTATTTAAATGGCTGCTTTAAAGTTTATACTTCCTTCAAAGTCTGATTTCATTATCTTTTTCAATTCTGGGTCTGTTTCTATTGACAGGTTTTTCTCCTGCTTATGTTTCATACATATTTTATGCTTCTCCATGTGTATAATAATTTTTGGTCAGACAGTAGGCATTGTGGCTACTAGACGGTTGGATGCCTGGATTTTGTTGTCTTTCTTTAAAGATTGCTAAGTTTCATTCAAAGAAGCAGTTGATTGACTTGCAGATCATTTTTATTCAGCTGTGTTTGAGTAGGTCTAAAATGGGCTTTCCTATCAGGCTAATTTAACATTATTTGTAAAGTCTGACCTTTCTGGAGTCTTTCTGCCAAATGTTCCAGGTTTTCAATAAAATTTCCCCCATTCCAATCAGTTACAACTTACAATTGTCAATTCCAATCAGTTACAACAGGTTTCCAAGGTTTTTGTTCAAGCTCTAGTTCAGCTTAAAATTTCCTAGCAACTATCATCTACCAGGCTCACTAAATCAAGTCTTAAACTTACACCAAAAAGTCAAGGGAGCCCTTATTTCTGGAACTCTTTCTCTGGTTCACTACCCTGAAAATATTAGTTGTTCTCAAACTCTCTTAATTACAATTTCTGTGTCCTCAGTTAAGCAAGACCATTGTATACATACTGTGCTTGGCTTTCTTTTATCTTGTGCTTAAGTAAATATCTCTAGGAAGAAATCTCAAGAAGTTGGGGGCTCATCTTTTCCTTCTTTCCAGGATCCTAATGCCTATAATCATTTATTTCATACATTTGGTCCAGTTTTATATTGTTTCTAGTAGGATGTTTAATCTGGTATCAGTTACTTATTTATGATTGGGTGACCCTTAAAATGTAAAATTTATATTGAATAAAGTATATACTAAAAATTGCATAAATCATAAGTTTATGCAATTCAATTAAGTTTTATTAATTGAATATACCATGTAACCAACACTTAGATCAAGAATGATATTATTAGAACTCCAGAAGCTCTCTACTTCTCATTTCAAATGCAAATACCTATAGGTAACCACTAAGTTTATATAATTAATCCAGATCTTTCTTCTGAATTCTAGACTTATATATCCAAATCTGCTTGACACCTTCATTTATAAGCATCTCAAATTTAATGTATTCCAAACCATTTGCTCCTTTTATGTTCCCAAATGGCTTCCTAATCCATGTAGTTACTTATGGAGTAATTCTTAATACTCCTTTTATATTGACCTTTCTAGGCAAATCAATCCAGTAAGCCCCTTGTATTCCACCTTCGATTTATGTATATTTTGAAGTTATCCACCTCTTTCTCTCTCTACTGCCATTACCCTAGTTCAAGCCACCATCATTTCTGGCCTTGGATAATGCAGCTGCCTCCAAACTGGCCTCCCAGCAACCCTTTTTGCCCTTTTTCAATCTATTCCCCACAAATAGCCTGAGTGAGTTCTTATGTAAATCAGACCCTACTGAACAGTCTTTCTTAGCTGCCCATTGACCTTAGGCTATCTTCCAAAATACAGTCTGAAATCTATAATGTGGCCAAGAAAAGCCTGCATGGTCTGGCCTTTGCCACATCTCAGCTCAAGTTCCTTTTTGCTCCCTACATTCGAGCCACACTTCCTTTTAGTTCCTAGAACACACAAAGTTCTTTCATGCCCCTAACAACCTCACACATAATGTTCCCTTGGCCCAGAACATTCTTTAAGGCTCTTTAACATGCCTGGAGCTTAAAAGGCATTTATTCAGAGATCTTTTCTTTGACAGTTCAAAATTAAACCATCATTGCACCCACTAATTTTCCTTCATAGTACTTATCACAAGGTATAATTAGGTACCGCTTTATGCCTTAATATCTCTAGCTCCTATTACACTTTAAATTCCGTCAACTATTATGTTCACTCCCATGACCCAATGCCTAACAAGGTGCTTGGCACATGGTAAACAGTCAGTAAACGCCTGTTTAATAATGCCCGACCTATGCGAATGCTGGAAAGTGGCCATGGGTTTAGCATCTGGGCCTTCCCGGCCACGATTAGTTTTCTTCTTGTGTGTGGTGGTAGATAGGGGCAGATCCTTTCCTTGGTCTCCTAGCTGGGGTTCCTCTCTCAGCCGTTTGATAAATGTTTGCTCCAGCGACGCGTGTGACAAACTGACGCCAGATACCAGGCCGCAGGTGAGACAGATTAGCCTTAATTCTGAGCAGTCTCCACGGGAACTTGCGTGAGAAGCTGCCAATCTCCTGGAGGGGGCGGGACTAAGGCGGGTCCTGAGAGGAGGCGGGTCTGCGTGTTCTTTCCACAGTACCTGATTGGCCTGGGAGAGCTGAGGGAGCGGGGGTGGGGTTTGATACAGCGGGCGCCGGCCACGTTGGACGCTGGGAAGCCCTGCCAAAGGCCACGCCCAGGCCCCACAATGCACTGCAGGGCGCGTCACTCGGAGCTGTGGGTCCCGGCTGGACAGGTACGCCCCAGCTCCTCCCTTCCCTCTTTTCCTGCCTTAGGGGCGCTCGAACCCCTGCCGGCAGCTCCCCTCGCTCTACGCACCACACTCACGGCCCACGCCCCCGGGACTACCGACGTATCCCCGGGCAGGAACCAAGCCTGTGCCGTTGGGGTGGGAGCTGCGTGTCTTTGGGGCCACGGAGCTCTGGGGGACATGAGGAGACCCGGTCCACTAAGACTTCAGGGTTCCGTGGGGCCGCGCGGGCGGCGGTTGTCCTTCGGATGGTCTGCCTCGGCTTGGGGCGGTCCGGGAAGGGGAATACGAGGGGGAGGGCCAGTCACCCTGACTTGCTAGCGGCTGGTGGTGGGATTCCCTGGCGCCCACATGTCAGAAATACGATGATCCACCAAGTCTGGTTAGGTAGCCAGAGACAGAGTGGAGGTGCCATTTCCCATTTCTGTTAGTAAGGGAGAGACTTGAACCAGTGGCTAGCTTTGCGTTGTGTGAAATAAGCGCTGATCCCAGAGATTTGCCTGGGTTGGTTCAGAGAAACCTCATGGGGCCCTCTTAATGGCACTTTGGGAACAGTGTGGCAAAAAGCAAACCTGAGCAAGCGTAAGAGATCTCCGAAAGAGAAGGCTGAGCCCAAGTTGCCTCTGTTAGTGAAAGCAGCTTTAGATTTTTCTCCAGCTGCTTAGTTCCCTGGATCATCCACCTGGAGCAGGTGGAGAGCTTCAGAACCAGCTCCTCTTATGTCTGTTCGGTTAAGGCAAAGCCCAGCCCAGACCTGAAGTGTCAGCCACTATACCAGAGATGTTAGAATCTCAGCTGACAAATGGAACAGCCACTTTTTAAAAGTCCAAATCACTTAACATACTACTAGTATTTGCTCATATACTATGACTGTAGGGAGTTAGGCAATACCTTACAGTACCTATAATCTGGTGTTTGACTCTGACACCTGTGACCATGTCCTAAGTTAATGGGACATTTGGGCATTTTCTGTGTTGAGAACCATTACATCTGTTTAGTTTTGTGTTTTTTAGTGTGTGTGACTCATTAAAATCTAAGTGTATGTTTCACTGATGTATGAAAGAAGCCCCTTCCTTTCAATGTGTTTGAATAAGAAGTCTAGATAACTTGAGAGTTATTAGGGTTACACCTGAGTTTAAATCCCTACTTTGCCACTTACTAGTTTAGGGATTGAACAAATTACTTATTTTCGGAGCTCAAGTTTCTTCAAAGGTTAAATGGAACTAACAATACTTACCTCACAGGGTTTTGCAAGGGTTAAATGAGGTAATGGGTATAAAATGCCTGGTCCACAGGGGTAATCAGTAAGTACTAAGAATGGCATAGCAGATCCTTACTGTAGGACTTTTAGTATAGTACAAGACTATGTTTTGGGTGTTTTACATGATCCTGTGAGGTAGATACTATGGGCATCTTTAAAACAACCCCATGAGATAGATACTTTTAGTAGCTGTAATTTACAGGTGTAGAAATCGAGATATAGAAAGGCAAAGCTTGCCCACAATTACATGGCTGGTACATGGTGGAGCCAGGATTAGAACTCAGGCTCCAGAGTCTGTCCTTTTAACTACCACAGTGTACTGCCTCTTAAAGAAAATGTAACCTGTTCTTTTCTTTCTTTCTTTCTTTTTTTTTTGTAGAGACAGAGGCTCATTTTATCACCCTCGTAGAGTGCCATGGTGTCACACAGCTTACAGCAACCTCCAACTCCTGGGCTTAGGCAATTCTCTTACCTCAGCCTCCCAAGTAGCTGGGACTATAGGCACCCACTGCAATGCCTGGCTATTTTGTTGTTGTTGTTGCAGTTCAACCGGGGCCAGGTTTGAACCCGCCACCCTTGGTATATGGGGCTGGTGCCCTACTCACTGAGCCATAGGCACCGCCCCCTGTTCTTTTATTTCAAAGTGAACAGCTAGATAGTTTTTGTATTTCTGGTTTCTTGCCTCTTGTTGGCTTGGGGAAACTGATGTAGCACAGTGATGTAGGGATACAAGAAACACAGGTTTATGTACCTGTACTGTCAAATGCTAGGAGTGTAATGTTGAGAAAGTGAGCTTTATTTTCTTGTCTGTTAAATGGAGGTTATATCCACATAATTGAATTATATGGTGGTACACAAATGTTGGGGATTGACATACTTTAGCAGGTATTGGGAGCTCTGTTCCTAGATGTGAGTGTAATCTTGAGGAGCCTGCGCAGCGTAAGCACCCATAACAGGATTATCAAAGACTGCCAGTAAGGTGGGGGGGGGGCAGCAAAATGGCAGAATAAATTTTGGCTACCCTTGGTACTTTTTTTCCTTCCCTTCGTGCTCTGTCTCCCAAGTGCCTTCCTGCTAACCTTTGGCTTTGTAAAGTCCTTTCTCTTTTCCATTCAATCTGCCCCCAGCCTGTGCATCACACTTAGTGTAACTTTCTTCCCAAATTAACCATTACCCATTCTCACAGCTCTCAGCACTTTTAATAAAGTAATATGTACTGAGGTAGTGTTTCCCAAATATTAATATTGTCACACATGCAAGATAATGTGATAGTTGATCATTAAAAAAAACCTCCCCAAATTTTCACGTACACATATATTTGAATGAAAGAAAAAAGTTGATTTATCTAAAATTAGGAGGAAAAACAGTACCTCAAAACTGACTTCACAGATATTGCTAAAAATACATAGGAGAAAATGTAAGGTGAAGAACTGCTAGTAGGTGAGCTGAAGATAAGGTATGAATTCTGAAGTGGTACTTAGATAACTGAAGTTTGGGAAATGATGAGCTAAAATAAAATGTGAGTTGCATGACCCCAGTATAAATGGAGGCATTTATGAAAGCTAGGAAGAAGGCTAGGAAGAAGATACAAAATTTACTTACATGTTGGATTTGTTTATTGCCTTTCTGATAAATCTTGGGCCCATAGTCATTACCCTACATGGCTCTGAAGAAGAGAGGTCAGCATCTTGTTACCTTGGGTCTAAGAGGTTGCTTACCACTGCAGTGGTAGTCTGGCATTGTGGGAGTTTATTTTGCTTACATAAAAGTTTCCCCTTATTTACTTAGGTTATTACTTGGGCTTTTTCTTCCACTACTTGGGAAGAGGAAAATAGGCCACTACTCAGCTTCCCTGCTGCTGTCTAAAGGCAGGTGTAATATTTTTTCTGTGTTAAAGGTGAAAAACAGACCAGTGGCCTAAAAAAGATATATGGCCCTGATAAAATAGAAATACTCCTTAATTTTACCATGTAATTGTTGAAACCTCTTGCTTTTCACAGTTCCACTGGTCTTTCCCTGGTGTTTTCCCAAGCACAGTCTGGCTTAGACCCCAACAGTGCTCTAACTCTACTTGCCTTGATATGGACAGATTTCTTTTTCACTAGAACAGTCCAGACACGATTAGTTTTTTAAAAATAAACTACATTTTAAATCTGAGGTAAAAATAAAAAGGGGGATTATTTATTTTGAGTTGATGGAGAAACTGCTTATCCTGAGATAATTGGAATCCACCTACAAAATAGTTAAGCCTGGCATTGATTATCAGACATTTATCTGGGATTTTCTTGTTTTCTTAATGAAGTTCAGCTGGTTTGGATGCTGAATCAAATTACTCTGGGAGGAAGTGATTTCACTTTTTTGTTTTGGACAAAGTCTCACTCTGTTGCTTCTGGCTAGAGTGCCCTGGTGTCACCTAGCTCACACCAACCTCAAATTCCTGGCTTTGAGCAATCATCCTCCCTCAGCCTCCTGAGTAACTGGGACTATAGGTACCCCTCACAACATCTAGCTATTTTTTTTCTATTTTTAGTAAGATAGGGTCTCACTCTTGCTCAGGCTGGTCTCAAACTCCAGCTCAAGGGAGCCTCCTGCATCGGCCTCCTGAGTGCTAGGATTACAGGTGTGAGCCACTGTGCTCTGAGAATTTACTTGTTAGCCTTATCAGCTGTTAAATAGAAATAATCCTCAGATAACCTTTTAAGAGTTGTGATGGAGAATGTAATTGCTGTGTTCTGCTTTTCGTTAAAGCCTAAATTGTGTGTTAGGAATATCTGACATGTAATTTTGTCTAACTTTAGTTTTTTATTTTATTTACTATTTTTTTGAGACAGAGTCTCACTTCATCGCCCTCTTGGTAGAGTGCTGTGATGTCATAGCTCACAGCAACCTCAAACTCTTGGGCACAAGTGATTCTCTTGCCTCAGCCGCAGCTGAGGACTACAGGTGCCCACCACAGTGCCTGGCTATTTTTAGAGACAGGGTCTCACTCTTGCTCAGGCTGGTCTCAAACTTATGAGCTCAAGCAATCCACCTGCCTCAGCCTCCCAGTGTGCTAGGATTACAGGTGTGAGCCACCGCGCCTGGCCTTAACTTCAGTTTTTTAATTAGTAAAGTGCATCAGCCTCTTGAGTGCTAGGATTATAGTCTGTATAGTCTTTGCTCTTTTCATTTAAATTTCTTTAATTTTGGATGTGATATTTCTTGATGGCAGGAACTCTATATTCTTAGTGTCTGGCTTAATCTATAGTAAATATTTGTTAAACAAAATGAACTTGCAACCACTTTTCTCATATGTATGTTAGGAAGTATGAATCATATCTTTCTGTCTTCCAGCTCATTAAAAAGAAGTGAATAACTTTGAAGACTACATGGAAGTTGGCAATCTGTTGATAAAGACTATTCCTAATATTGCTGTTAGGATCCTAGAAAGGATCGGGCATAAAAAATGAATTTTTGCTGGGTGGTGCCTATGGCTCAAGAAATAGTAGGGTGCCAGCCCCATATACCAGAGGTGGTGAGTTCAAACTGAAGGAAAAAAAAAAGAGTTTTTGCACTTGTAAATACCAAAATATGAACTTTTGGAACTATCATCTGCCCTCATGTTAATTCTTAGAATGGTCATCTTGCTGGATTTCCATGTCTGAAAAGGCAACAGTTTATATTCTTAGGAGTATGAAGTGAGACATTTTCCTACTTTCTTACACTTAGGCTAAATGTTACAATTGTGGTTTGTAATTAAACAACAGTATAGATAGTATAAATAGCCTCCTTCCATGAATTTTAGTTTTCCCTTGCTATTGCATTTAGGAGAGGAAAAAAAACTGGATAAATGGATAAAATGCGATTTTGATATGTTACATTGGGACTTCAGTTTGAAGATTCCACTGTGGTAAAAAGGCTAATTTAACTTCATTTTTTCTCTTTAAATAAATGGAGGATAAAAATATTAAAAGGTAATGAAAAAAAGGGGGGTAGTAAATTTTAGTGCATTAGCTTTATTAGTTGGATTAAGTTTTATTGTCAGGTCAGTTACACCATGAATAGGCAGCTGGATTTTTATTTCACACAGCAGTGGAAACTATTAATTCCTGATTTCCAAACTTGGTACCAGTTGGTTTTCTCTGGCACTTTGGGGGGTGTATTACTAATTCAATTTTCATTTTTGAAATGAGATAATAATCACCTAGCTGAAGTGGGCAGGTAAAGATTACTGTCTTAAAATTCAATATCTCTGTAAAAAAAAAAAAAAAACCTATGAAATTTGTGTCAGGCCAGGCACAGTGGCTCATACCTGTAATCCTAGCACTCTGGGAGGCCGAGGTGGGTGGAATGCTTGAGCTCAGGAGTTCAAGACTAGCCTGAGCAAGAGCGAGACCCTGACTCTACTAAAAATAGAAAGACTGAGGCAAGAGGATCACTTGAGCACTGGGGTTTGAGGTTGCTATGAGCTATGATGATGCCATGGTACTCATAGGGTGACAGAGTGAGACTCTGTCTCAAAAAAAAAAAAAAAATTGTGGGCAGCGCCTGTGACTCAGAGGAGTAGGGCGCTGGCCCCATATATCAGAGGTGGCAGGTTCAAATCTCACCCCAGCCAAAAACTGCAAAAAAAAAGGAAATTGTGTCAAGTGTTTGAATTTTCACAGTTGTCACTGTCGCTAATGAAGAAGCTAGTGGCCCTGTTCTCTGATAGCCTGATAGAGAAGAGTTATCACATAATTTCAGATAATGAGCATGTTTAATTCAGTGTTTTTCAAAGTATGGTCCTTAGACAATAAGCAAAATAATCACCTTGGGACTTTGTTAAAATTGAAGATTCCTAAACCTGCACAGTCAGTGGATCAGAGGTTTTGGGGGGATGGACCCAGAAATCTGTATTTCTAACTGAACTTCCAACTTCTTATATAAGCTAAAGTTTGAGAGCCACTACGTATTTTTTTGAAAGGTTGACTGTTTACCTGGTTTCTTTCAGACTTAGGCCTGTGAAGTCCTTTTATCTGTTTTGGTAAAAATGACCAGAATCCAGCAAAAGAACCCATTATGATTTACTTTCTGGTTAAAAGGATTGAGAACAAAATTAAAACCCATAAATAAATATTTTTATTACAGAAGTAACATTTACTCATTGTAGATATCATGAACAGTTAGGAAATTATAAAACAATCACTCGTAATACTGTTTACTGGAGATGAGCATTATTTTGATTTTTCCATCTTTCCTGTATCCATTTCTCCCTCCCCTTTTTTTCCTGTCTTCATATATATTTTTTATTTATTTATATTATTAAATCATAGCTGTGTGCATTAATGCAACCAGGGGTACAATGTGCTGGTTTTATATACAATTTGAAATGTTTTCATCAAACTGGTTAACATAGCCTTCACAGCATTTTCTGTTCACTAGGTGTAGAATATAAATCTCTGTCTTCACATAAAACAGCGGTTCTCAATCTGTGGGTCGTGACCCCTGTGTAACAATGAAAATACATCATGGCATTAGGAAGGTTGAGAACCACTGATATAAAACAACAAGTGTGATTTTTATCCTTCTTTTTTCTTCTTAACATATGAGCATTTCACCATTTTATTGAACTTTTTTTATAGACATAACTTTTAGTTGCCGCATCACATTCTGTCATGTGAATATACTGTAATTTACTTCACTATCACCTAATTGTTGGATTTTTAAACATGTTTTCAGTTATTTGGGTCTTTCTGTTTAAATTTCATCTAGATTTCTGATTTTTTCCTCAGGATAGTGTTACATATTAATAAAGGATGAAGGGCATAAATACTTTAAACTCTTATTGAAATTGCCAAATTATTTTGAGAATGGTGTTTTGCCAATTTTCACTTCCTGCTACACTTAGGAAAATACTAGACAGAAGCAAGTATTATTTTTTTAAAAAACTAATTTGTCAAGTGAAGCATATGTACCATTGTTTTAATTAGTATTTATTGATTGCTAGTAAGTTGAACTGTTTTACATATGTTTATCAAATTTGGCTTTAATTTTTATCTGACCCAAATTGTTCATTTTGTTTTAGGTCTTCTCTATCGGTTGAAATGTCTATGATTTTATCTGCCTCAGTCATTCGTGTCAGAGATGGACTGCCACTTTCTGCTTCTACTGATTATGAACAAAGCTCAGGAATGCAGGAGTGCAGAAAGTATTTTAAAATGCTCTCAAGGAAACTTTCTCAATTTCCTGATAGATGTACACTGAAAACTGGACGTTATAACATAAAGTAAGACTTCAGTTTGCTTCTTTAGAACCATTTGCCTTTTGGTTGTTGTTTTAATGAAGTTTAAGTGGTTGCAATGAACATTAGTGTTTGACTAGTTTAAACAAACTTGTTCAAGTCCAGAATCATGTTATTCTGAACTTATGCTAAATAGTAGTCATTGTGTCATCAACTTCTCTGCAGTTGTTTCTGGATTTATATCTGGCTTTTGAAAATTGTATAGTTTGGCAGATCATAGATGTTCCTTGTAAGTCTATCACCAGGTATATATTGGCATTTTTACATGCCTAGAATTATGGTAGGCAGACTGGAATGGGAAATAAAAAAATTTTACCTGATACCTGCCTTCAAACTGAAGAAGCTTACATTCCAGTAGGAGGGGATAACACTTATCACTATATTATATATAAAGAAAGTAAAACTGGCTGATGAGATGTCTAGGGGTGGTCAAGGGCTTGTCTGAGAGGGAACATTTGAGTAGAGACCTAAAAGATGAAAGAGGAGACAGTTATGTGAAGGATACTGTGGATGAAGAGCAAGACGTAGGTAACAGCCAGTGGAGAAGCCCTTCTATACATACAAGAAATGGAAAGAAAACGAGTGATGCTGAAGCATTATGGAGAATTAATAGAATAGCAGAGGGTAAGGTTCAAAAGATAGGAAAGGGGGAAGGGTTATTTAGGGCCTTCTAGGCCATGATGAACTTGGTGTCTCTTGGTCTATTGAGTCAGATGCAGTAGGAAGCAACTGGAGAGTTTTAAGCTAGAGTTACATGATGTGATTTTGGCTTTGAGTAGATAATCCCAGCTGCTCTGCGAAGAATGGGCCATAGGGACAAAGTGTAAGCAGACATCAGATAAGAGATTCTTAGAGAAGTTTAGGTAGAGGTCATAATGAAGAGAAGTGTTGTATTTGGGCTATATTTTGGAATTAACGGATTGAAGTGGGATGTGAAGAAAAATCAAGATTTACCTATAGTTTTTTGGCCCAAGGAACTGCATGGATAATGGGGCTGAAGTGAGCAAAACTAGAAAGGATAAGTATGTTTCATTGGTAAAAAGAGTTCTGTTTGGACCTGTTAAGTCTGAGGTGCTGTTAGACGTCCAAGGAGCACTTCCATTTAGGTAGCTAGATGCATGAGTCTGACATCCAGCTTGTGATTAGGACAAGTATAGAGATTTATATTTGGGAGTCAGCTTATCACTTGCAGTTAAAACTATGGGAATGGATGACACTACCTTGGAAAGCATTTATACGAAACAATTAGAGAGCACGTAATTTCTGAGCAGTTTAATAGTGATTATGCATATAGAAGGAAATCAGATAAGAAAAATACTGATTATGCATATAGAAGAAAGTCAGATAAGAACAAGGTCTGTATAAGATATAATAAATTTCATTGTTGAGCTGGACGTGAGCCTTGTCCTGAAGAATTAATAAGATTTGCCTAAAGCAGGGAGGCAGGCATTGCAAATATAAGAAGGAAAGGCAGGGTAAGCAAAGAATGTGAAATAGCATGGTAGGTGCATAACTTGCTTAGCTTGGTATAGTGGATGGTAATTTAGAGATAGCTATGAGACGTGGGTGGTAATCAGTGTGGCGCCTAATCCTCGATTGCCCTAAAGTTCAGGTTGAAGGATGTCACTTTGATGTAATAGGTTGTAGGAAGCTCTGCTGCAGGTTTGAGGGAAGTGACTTGATAAAAAACAATTCTGAGACAGTGGAACATACAGTGAAATAAAAAGTCTGAGAGGAGAGAGATGAGACAGAGAGGTCAACTTATTATTAGGGCCTGAAGTAGGAAAGTAAAAGGTGCAAATGAAAAAGAAAAGGCCACCAGGTATGGTGGCTCATGCCTATAAACCAGGCACTTCGGTAAGCTGATGCAGGAAGATTGCTTGACGCCGGGAGTTCAAGATTACAATGAGCTTAAAATAATAACTAAGAAAATGACATGAAGGCTATGTTAACCAGTTTGATGGAAGTGTTTCGGATTGTGTGTGAAAACCCCACACTGTACCCCAGAAGTGCATTAATGTACATAGTTACCATTCAGTAAAAAAAAAAAAAAAAAAAAGATTACAATGAGCTATAATCATGCCACTGTACTCCAGCCTAGGAGATAGAGTGAGGCCTTGTCCCAAAAAAAAAAAAAAAAAAAAAATTAATAATGAAGAAAATACTAAACAGAAAGATACTTAAAGAGAAGTGATCAAGCCTAATAAGATAGAATTCTAGAGATGAAGTGAAGGAAGGGGGCAAAGATGATTGAGGCCTTGGAGTTCAGCAGAATGAGGGTGTCATTGTCAGAAAATAGGAAAGGAATTGTTTATGAGAGGTGAGAAAGAAAAAAAGATGATGAAACTCCATTTTGATTATTTTAATTGAGGTTTGACAGGGCAAGTGGAGATGGGATATTTTAGAATCATTCACATAGATGTGATTAAAATTGTGAGTAGAAATGCCCATGGAGTTTAGACAGAGGAGTAGAATAGACCTTAGAAAATGTCTACACTTCTTGGATCACCTGGGTAATGGTAAGATAATGAGATGATATATCTAATTTTTTTTTTTTCTGAGGGTTTAGAAAATGTGGTGGTGATGGTTCAAGTATGTATATATGTAAAATGATGTCTTAGCCTGCTTCTCTTTTTTGGAGAAAAAACTTGAAACATTTAAATATTTTCCTTAATAGGCTCTTTTAGTGCTCTGGATCATTATTTTGAGTTTCAGTTGTTATTGTATAGTGGTGTAGACAGATGTCATTGTTAAAGGAGATTGGCTTGAAAGTATGCATATCCTGATAGAAATCCTGGACTAAAAAAAAATAGAACTTTTTTCAAATGTTTTTTGTTCCTTTGATTTACTTTTTTAAAAGCAGGATAACAGATAGTAAAAATTTAACTAACTCTCTACTGTTTAATTGTGAGTTCCAGGTTTTATATATTTTGTACCAGATCTTATTCCACCCAAAGGATTTGAGGCAATTTGCAAAAATAATTCAAGAGGACAAATGAGGGAATCAGATAAAGGAAAACAGAGATAAAAGACACAATAAACTGAAATAATACTTTTGTCTGGAGCTTCAAACTACATAGTTCATTCAATTTTTAGAAAAAGGCTATGACTATTGCTCTAAGCTTCCTAGTGCCATAGCAAAAAGGAGATAATTGATAAGATTTAGTACCATTGAAGAAAAGTATTGCTTTCCTGGTCTCCTACTCAGACGAAAAAGAGAGACAACATTTTTTTTTTTAATTTCACATTACAAACAATTAGGTTACAATGTTTGCATTTGTTAGGTAAATTCTCTGTTATAGTTGTGCCCCCACCCAGGAGGTATGCCATGTACCCTAACATTGTACCAATACCAATTCCCCTTCCTCCCCCCAACTTGAACTAATTTGAGTTTTTCTTTTATGTGAGCAGGCATTAGTTCATCTGTTGGCTTCATACTTTTCCATTCTTGTGATACTTTACTAAAGAGAATGTCCTCCAACTCGATCCAGGTTAATACAAAAGATGTAAACCCTCCATCTTTTTATGGCTGAATAGTATTCCATGGTGTATATATATGTACCACAGTTTATTAATCCATTCATGGGTTGATGGGCACTGGATTGACCTAACCCCAGTGAGAATAGCCCACATCACAAAGTCTCAAAGCTGCAGATATTGGCATGGAAGTGGTGAGAAGGGAACATTTTTACACTGTTGGTGGAATTGCAAACTAATATACCCTCCTTGGAAAGAAATATGGAGCATCCTCAAACAACTCAAAATAGACCTTCCATTTGATCCCTCAATCCTATTACTAGGTATCTACCCAGAAGGAAAAAAAAAATTTATCATCGGGACATATTTGCACTAGATTGTTTGTTGCAGAACAATTTACAGTTGCCAAGATGAGGGACAGCATTCGGATAGCATTTTTCCAGCAGTCCTAATAGTGAGTGTGATTTTCCTTAAACAACTGACATGATGCAAAAAGCAATTTATGAGAGAGTTTAGGAGTGGGATAAATTCAACAGAGGGCTAATCTGGCCTGATCCAAGATTATAATCCAGATACGTCTAAAGGAATAAATACAGTGCCTGAAAAAGGTGTATACATTTTACGAAAGGAAAAACTGGTATTAAAATTATACTCAACATCTATCAGTAACAAAAGATGAATATAAGTTGAGTTGAGGCCAAGTATAGGCAGGCAGTGACTCATGCCTATAATCCCAGCACTTTGAGAGGCCAAGGCAGGTGGATAACTTGAGCTCAGGAGTTCGAGACCAGCCTGAGCAACACTGCAGTCCCTATCTCTACTAAAACTAGCTGAGCATTGTGGTAGGTGCCTGTAGTTCCAGCTACTCATGTGGCTGAGGGAAGAGAATCACTTGAGCCCAAGAGTTTGAAGTTGATGTGAGTTATGACTCCATGGTACTATACTTAGGGTGACAGAGTGAGACTCTTGTCTCAAAAAAAAAAAAAAAAAGTTGTATCGATAACTTCTTGTAATTGCAGAAGTCAACTGTGACTTGCGCATTACAAATTTAATACAATTTTTTTCTTTCTTAAAATGTATATGCCTTTTTTTTTGGCACCTTCTATAGATTGCATAGCTTTCAGAGCAATGCATAGAGAAACCTCTATGTATGTTATTTTTGTACCCAAGCTTTCAAAAGGATTGAAAAACAATTTTTAGTTCTATTTTGTGACAAGAACCTGGATTTTGTATATTTTCTATTATTGATAAGCAGTCTTGTTAGTTGGTTTTAGTTCATGGAAGTTTTTATAGCATATGACAATGAGCTTAGCTGAAATATATAAAACTGGGAATTAATGTGTGTTACCAGACTTTTAAAATTCTCACTTACATGGTCTGTCTAACAAGGGTACAAGTGAACTTTTCTAGAACTAGAGTATAAATGTTTTGACACAATGACTAAGTAAATGACATGAAGTCTATGTTAACTGGCTTGAGGAAAGTATTTCAAATTGTATATGAAAACA